AAAAAACAAATTAGCATGGGGTCCCCCCTCCCATCCATACCAAGCCCTTCCACTCTTGTAAGGATTTTGAGGGAACCCCCACTCCAAAATTAAAAAAAAAATGGCATTTGGGTCCCCCCCAAAATCCATACCCTTATAGAATGCAGCCCAGCAGGTCAGGAAAGGGGGGAAATGAGCGAGTGCCCCCCTGAACCATATCAGGTTTTCCCCCAAAAGCACCTTATCCCCATGTTGATGGGGACAAGGACCTCTTCCCCACAACCAAGGTGGCTGTGGGGTCTTATCAGAATCTGGAAACCCTCTTTAACAAGGGGACTCCAAGATTCCAGCCCCCCCATGTGAATGAGTACGGGGTACATGGTACTGCTACCCATTCACAAAAAAAAAGTGTAGTAAAAAATGACAGGAGACAGTCTTTGACAAGTCCTTTATTAAAAACAAAAGTAAAATAAATGTCCCCCGAAGTAGATCCAATGTGAATCACGATGCCCGGCACGACCGCCGACCCAAAAAAAGAAAAAAATGCTCTGCTCTCGACACTGGCTCCTGGCCGCCTGACAGCTGCGCCGTGATGACAGTTCTTAAATACTGTTATGATGTCACAAGGGGACAAGGTCAGATGCATTGCTTTGGCCAATCACAATGCACTATCGGGGTGTGCATTGTGGGACACGGTGGGCAAACAGCCCGCCGAACGCCCTTACCATTCTTGTGTTCAGTGAACACTTTCGTTTGACTCGAACATAAAGCCCATCACTACCTAAGATGACAAAACTCACCCACTTTACTGTATCTATGGATGAACAGTCTTGTTACCCAAGGGGGTGCTCTGTATTTCACAGAGATGAACTGGGTAGGGCTGATATCACTGCTAGAAATAACACTGCAGAATGCAGAGGACACAGGATACTAATGGATTTCTAATACAGTAAGATTGATGGGGCAGTTTTTGCACTTATTGATCAGATTTAACATAAAGCTTTTAATTACTGTATGTATTTTACAGTCCAAAATGGAGCAAATAAGAGGCATTTATTATTAGAGTTTTTATATACAGTACTATAATACTAGACTAGACCAGAGGCGGACTGACCATTTGGAAACTTGGGCACTGCCCAAGGGCCCGGGGTCAGTAGGGGGCCCCATGAGATGCCCCTGGCACATTTTTCATAGGCTTTTTTTGAGTTTGGGCAAGGACACAGGGGCCCCATGATCCCCTATTGCCCAGGGGCCCCATGAGTTGTCAGTCCGCCCCTGGACTAGACGCATCACTTCTGCTGATTCTGTTGTTCTATTGACCATCTGCAATCCGCTCTCTGAGGAACCTTTACTTTCCACATGTATTCTATAAACACCTGAGAAAACAGCCAATACAACTGTAGACCACTGATTCTCTATATAAACAATTACAGGCCCTTTTTTACTGGTAGAGGTAATTCTGTGCTTATCATGTCTGTTTTTTCCTATCCTAGATCCATTACTGAAATAATGGCAATGCTCATAGTCAGAAAGAAGAGGATTTGAATAACCGGATTGTTATAATATATAAACTGATTGTCTCAAGATATGTTCAAGTTATACATGTTCTATACTGTATGTAGTCAATTATTTAAAAGACTATGATAACAAAATAGTGCTCTTTTTTTAAACCTGAATTATTTATTATGTATTTATTTGTTTTTTTATTCTTTATAGGTACTTACAGTATTTTCTGGCGTATAAGACTACTTTTTATACTTAAAAATATATCCCAAAAATTAAGGGTCGTCTTATACGCGGGGTATATAATCTGAACCTTGAGTTTGTTTGGGTCAAGCTGGTTGGATGTATGGTAATACTGTACATACAGTATACCGCGCTGAGCCAAGCTGGCTCAAAACAAATGTCCCTATGACAGATTAATCTGTCAGCCCGCTGGATGTGCGGTATATACAGTATACTGCGCTGAACCAAGTGGTTTACAGTACGTCCCTACTGTAATCAGACCGCTGGATGCGTGTATGTACAGTAGCTGCGGCTACATACAGTATACACTGGGCCAATCACGGCGAGCGATATATTCTACTAATGGATACAACAAAGCCTGCTCGGATTGGCTGAGTCAGAGAGGTGGGCTGATGATGTCACAACCTCAGCCAATCCGAGCAGGCTTTGTATTCATTAGTAGAATATATGGCTCGCCGTGATTAGCCCAGTGTATACTGTATGTAGCCTCAGCTACTGTACATACACACATCCAGTGGTCTGATTACCGTAGGGACGTACCGGTACGTTTTGAAACAGCTTGGCTCAGTATATTGTATACACCACAGTGGTATATACTCAGTATACTGTATATACCGTACATCCAGTGGGCTGACAGATTAATCTGTCATAGGGACATTTGTTTTGAGCCAGCTTGGCTCAGCGCGGTATACTGTATGTACATTACTGCACATCCAGCGGGCTGTATATATACTGTCTACTGTATGTAGCCGAAGCTACCGTATTACCGCACATCCAGCAGTAACCATCTGATTTGGAATTTGATCCATATGATGACTGTCTTACAAATGTATCACAAGATGTCATTCATGAACTTATGATGTCAGAGGATGAACATGAGGATTTTGAAGGATTTTAAGTACCGGTAAGTCATAACCATTTCAATTAAAAAATCTGATGTTTTTAAATGGTGTTGCTTCGGAAGGGGGGTAGTCTTATACGGCGAGTATAGCCCAAAACCTATGTTCTAACTGGAAAATTAGGGGGTCGTCTTATACACCCAGTCGCCTTATACGCCGGAAAATACGGTATATAGTGCAGATAATTTATGCAACACTTAGGGCGGGGTTTTGATGACATCATCACGCTACCAGGAAGGAGCCACCTGGATACTGGAGTTTGGTGATGCTGTGATCTATCCCATAAGAAAACATATACCTGTATAAACTAACAGTCGTTTTTAAGGTGGTGGACTACTGTTTTTTTTGTGCACTAACACTATGAGTGTGTTTAAAGGCTTTTAATAAATGCTTAATAGTTTTAAGAGGTAAAACACTATGTACTACTTCTATTCTTCTTTTTTTTTTTTTGTGATATTTGCCATTTGAGAAATCCACATAAGGGAAAGGGTGTTGGTAACCAAAATAAGGTAAAAAAATGAAAGTGACCGTGGAGAGTGTCTGGTTGTGGTAAACACTGAATATTGATCACATCGGTGAATGTGAAACACCTATATTCCATATTAGAGCACCGATCAGAGTATATGAACTGCACATTGGGGGGAGATTTACTGGAGCACTCAGAATCTGGTGCAGCTGTGCATGGTAAGTAATAAACTTCTAACTTCAGCTTGTTCAATTAGGCTTTGACAATAAAATCTGGAAGCTGATTGAATTCTATGCAGAGCTGCAGCAGATTTTTCACTCTTCAGTTAAATAAATCGCCTCCATTGTGTTGCAACATCAGTGGTGGTGAAACCCTCTTGTACAAAAATTGGAATATTTTGTTACCTATAAAAAAAATATTTCTTGCATATTGAACATATTTATTACATTGCATGCATTATTTTATGGATTGCTAATTTATTATGTGTAACATTAACAAGAATTTGCATAATTTAAGGTAGCGGAGCACTTTTCTAAGTAATTACTTTAGTTTGATGTGGGAACAGATTTGAGTGCTTTGCAACAACATTGTATATTGTGATAGTGGTTTTGGATTGCCTTGAAGTGCATTTTAGGTTGCATAGAGATTTTTCACTTTTTGTTATGCTTCACGTATATTTTGCTGCTAATAGAAATGTATTTAGTTTGTTTCCTGAAAGCACATAGACAGTACTACTATCTACAGTAACTATACTTCTAAAATACACAAATCAACTAGCAAGGATTTTCTATCTATCTATCTATCTATCTATCTATCTATCTATCTATCTATCTATCTATCTATCATATAGAAAGGTAGTTACATATAGTTACCAGGGCACAGGGGTGGACTGACAACTCATAGGGCCCCAGGGCAATAGGGGATCATGGGGCCCCAGTATCCTTGCCCAAACTCAAAAAAAGCCTATGAAAAAGGTACCAGGGGCATCTCATGGGGCCCCCTACTGACCCCGGGCCCTCGGACAGTGCTCGAGTTTCCAAATGGTCAGTCCACCCCTGCCAGGGAATAATCAAAGTTGCATACAGTTATAACAAAAAGTAACACAATTATGAAAATTAACTGTTTTTTTGCCCTTTGGCTCATTTCTTTACAGTTCTCTTCAGGTCAAATTTTGGTTCAAGTCATACAGTAGTTGCTATGATGATCTGGTAAAGTATAAGTATGAAGAGGGGTATACAGTTGATAATTTATGTTCAGCAGTTATGTTGATCGGATTACAGCAGAGGCTTGGATTTCCTGTGAAGTAAATGAAGGGGAGTCGATGTAATGAATAAATCAGAAACACGCATGACATATCCACTGAACCAGAATTCACAAATTAATAAAAAAATTAGATTTGCCTTACAATAATACAACATTAAATATTAAAAACAGAAAAATGTATCTGTTTTTAAACTATACACATGGGGTCTCCGTTTTTAAATGTATATTATTAGCATGAAATTATGCACGACATAACAGTACAATAAATTTACACAGAAACAAGTCAAGATTTTGCATTAGGATTCTTGATTGGTAAATTGACTTAAGGAAGACTATAAATCAAAGCCTGTTTGGAGGGAAGTTACATTAGACATTCAAATCAGTGGCAGTGAAGAAGAGATGTGCTTACTTTGATGTTGTGTTAAATTATGTAATAATGTTAAAGGTTAATCAAAGGCAAGATGGACAGATTAAAAATAGGGTTGAAGAGGAAAAAAAAAGATCAGCCCTAAAAAAAATGTAAACAAAAACACCCTTAACCGCCTCCCGCCTGCTATATAAGGTAATCAAGATGGTTCTCTCTTTCTGGGAGGACATCATATGACATACTCCCACTCTAACCGTACGTGCGTGGCTCAGGGAGTGTGCAGTGCGGCGATCGGTGGTCCGCTGTGTTCCTCGGACACAGCGGATCACCAATCAACGGAAAGAGCCGAAGATGTCGGATCGGTCATGTGATCAGCTGTGTCCAATCACAGCTGATCTCATGTAAATAGGGAAATGCCGGTTATCGGCATTTCTCTCCTCACGAGCTGTCACATTGACAGCTCGAGAGGAGAGGACAGACAGAAATCGGCATTCTTTGGAGGGGACATGTACACTGATCATCAGGGCACTGATGATCAGTGTGCCCTGATAATCAGTGTAGCCCCAGCAGTGCCACCTGTCAGTGCCCATCAATGGCAGTTGTCAGTGCTAATCAATGCCACCTGCCAGTGCCACATCAATGCCACATATCAGTGCCCATCTGAGCTGCCTTTGAGTGTCACCTATCAGTGCCAGTCAGTGCCACCTATCAGCGCTGCCAATCAGTGCCACCTATAAGTTCCAGTCAGTGCTGCCTATCAGTGTCAGTGCTACCTATCAGTGTCCATCAGTGCTGCCTATCAGTGCCGCCTAACAGTGCCAGTCAGTGCTGCCTATCAGTGCCAGTCAGTGCCACCTGTCAGTGCCGCCTATCAGTGCCATATATGAGTGCTGCCTTTCAGTGCCCATCAGTGATGCCTGTCAATGCTCATCAGTGCCATCTACTAGTTCCTCCTCATCAGTGCCACCTATCAGTGCAGCCTATCAGTGCCCATCACTGCAGCCTCATTAGCGCACATCAGTGAAGGAGAAAAATCACTTATTTACAAAATTTTATAACAAAAACTAAGAAACAAACGTGTTTTTTTTTTCAAAATTTTCAGTTGTTTTTGGTTTGTTTAGCAAAAAATAAAAAACCCAGTGGTGATTAAATACCACCAAATGAAAGCCTTATCTGTCTCAAAAAAATTATACAAATTTCATATGGGTACAATGTTGGATGACCACGCAATTGTCATTCAAAGTGCGATAGCACTGAAAGCTGAAAACTGGCTTGGGCAGGAGGGGGTATAAGTGCCTGGTAGGCTAGGGGTTAATATGAAAGCCACCAAGTATAATAATGGATTATGATTGATTACAATTGTTACTCCAAGTTTATTACTTTTTTACTATACTTTTTTTATATCACAAACATGTTTATCAGTGCTTTTATATACTGAATGCTGCTGCAACAGTCTCTGCCTTAAAGCTGAATATCAGGCAGACAGATAGCTATAGAGATAAAGTACTTGCATGACAATCATTGTACTTACCAAAGGATTTGTATTTCTCTCAATCCAGTCTTGTGATTTACACAGCACTCCTCCACAGTCTAGCCCTGTCTAGCAGAGGAGGGCATCTGATCTTTCTCTACTGGAGTTTCACATTAACTTACATATCCCCCCCAACACCTCACAAACTAATTGCCTTTTTAGCTGCTTCTCCCTTCTCCTCTCTTAGCTCTGCTGTACAGACTATACTGTAACTACAAGAGGCTGATACCAAGTAAAATTCAGGTACTGCATTTGAAAAAAAAAACTGCTATCAGTTCATAGTGCAGTTTATAGGTCTTCTATTTCATCTGTCGCAATGCAATAGAAGACCTCTTAACTGCACTATGAACTGATGGCAGTTTTTTTTTCAAATGCAGTACCTGAATTTTACTTGGTATCAGCCTCTTGCAGTTACAGTATAGTCTGTACAGCAGAGCTAAGAGAGGGGAAGAAAGAAGCAGCTAAACAAGCCCAGAAAAAGGGAGAGGTCTTTCATCTGAAATGCCTTGGCTGATTTTGATGCTCTTAACCAACAAACATTTTGAAAGGACCTATTAGTGATTATGAAAGTGTTTATGGAATGTGTCAAGGCAGATGTTGATTTTCCAACAACAGGAGGTGTGAAATTGATTTCAACAGATAAGACAAAGTTGTCATATAATGTCACATTTGCAAACGACATAGGTTATTGAGACTGTAAGGAAATATATAAAACGAGGTGAGACTGTTGACAGTTGAACAAAACTCAAACCTTACCAAGTATGTTCCTTGAAGTACCTTTGTGTCAATGCCACTTATTTCAAGTATAAGGATAACTTCTACAGATGGAAACATGGCTGTGCTAATGGCATCTCGCATTGTATCTGACCTTTACATGCTGTAGGTAGAAAGAATGCTTTGAACTATTTCAGTAGAATAACAGCAAGTCATTGGCTCAGGTATGTAGATGATACACGGATCAAGATTTAAACATCAGAAATGCAACCTTTTTGTGAACACATGAACGAAAAAAAAGCAACATATTTACACAGGTACAGAATAACAAAACTTCTTTTTGGACTGTGTGCTACATGTCAAGGAGGGGTAAACTGGACATTGAGGTCTACAGGAAACGTACACACACAGATCAATATCTGCTTTTTGACCCTCACACCCAAATGGAGCTTAAACTGGTGTTATTAGAACTCTGCAATGGTGGTGGGCTGAGACGGTAGCAATAAACATAGAATCTAAAGACAAAGCACACAAACAATATATAACTGCTTTGTGGCTACCTACTTTCATTAAAACATATAAGGTCAGGAAAAAACACAGAACCTTTGAACAGAGGGAAGAAGCAGAACCCATAGAGTAATGTAGTCATACCATATGTAGCTAGAGCATTGGAAAAACTGATCCTCAACAAACTTTACAATCTGACTTTTAAGCCCAGCAATACACTGATACAGAAGCTTATACATCCAAAAGACCCAACACCCAAACACAAGTTAAAGTGGAACTTTAGTCAAAAAATTAAGTCCTGCTAGATGGCTTCATGCTAGTCCCTTTTGCAGGTATAGGTATGTAAAACATTAAAAATAAGTGCCTATACTGTTTAAACCCTTCCAGCCACTGCCTCCCAACCCTTTAAGAAGCTCTAAATGCTGGGTTGAAGTGGGCAGTCTGATCATGTGACCGCAGTGGTTGGCAGTCACAGAGGGCACATGATTGGAAAAATCCCAATTGTGGGTATGCATTGGGGGAGATTTCCAGTCCCCACCAGTAACTGTGCTGGGAGCACACAGGTGCTATCTCTCTCTGCACAAAAAATCAGTTTACATAGGGCTGCACATATGTAACCGCTCAGCACATAATGCCCACCAGCTGAGAGGCTGCATATATGCGTACCTCCGGCAGGAAGAGAGTAAAATCCAGTAATACTCCCTTGCTCTGCACATGCTTAGTTATGCTCTATTTTTCATCACTGTGCCAAAAGTCTAGAGGCCGATCTGCTGACAGCTTAAAGATTTACTGCTGCTCAGAAGCTCAGTGTGCTGGTGTTCCCAATTGTTTCTTTGTTTGGACTGCTTGGGTAAGCTTTTCCATTGACCAGCTAATCTTCCTAAATATCCTATCTATTTGCAGTATTTTTGTATTATTATGTATGTGTATCATGTCTTGTTTTGTAGATATTGTGCTGCTCTCTCTAATACTCCTGAAGAAGCAGAAGGGCCGTTGTTGAGGAGAACTGGCTATATTTTTCATGAAGTAAACCTACCATCTGGTTTTGAGTGCTGATTAGCACCAATTTATGACAATGTTAGTTCAGACATGAGAGAGCATTGTTGTTTGTGCTTTCTATTTTAACTATGTAATAAAGTACTATACTAAAGTACTATAAAATCAATCACCTAGGCATACAGACTGCTTCCACAAACATTTGTGAAAGAATGGGTCGCTCTCGGGGGTTCAGTGAATTCAAGCGTGGTACCGTGATAGGTTGCCACCTGTGTAATAAGTCCATCCGTGAAATATCCTTGCTAGTAAATATTCCACGGTCAACTGGTATTATAACAAAATGGAAGCAACTGGGAACAACAGCAACTCAGCCACAAAGTGGTAGTCCACATAAAATGACAGAGCACAATCAGCGCATGCTGAAGAGCACAGTGTGCAGAAGCTGCCAACTGTCTTCAGAGTCAATAGCTAAAGACTTCCAAACTTCATTTGGTCTTCAGATTAGCACAACAACTTTGAAAAAGTCGTGATGACGAAAGTAGTGACGTCAGACGTTGCCGGAAGTATTGCAATGGCCATTTTGGATGAGGTCCGGACTGACCACAAACAATACAAAGTAGCAGGCTTGGAGGAGATATTTCATTGCTGCAAATACTCTGCAAATATGTAAGCACTTTTAATAAAGTATATAGCTCTTATCTAAGACGGTTTTACATGATGACTGTTTACTTTCCTTCTGGGTACATGCCATTTCTGGTTTTGGAGCATTGATATCATGGTCCTGGAGTAAAGAGTATGTCTGAGCAAAGCCTTCATTACCTGTCAATCTGGTAACATTCATGGGTTGGCAGGTGTCGTACCATTCGGCTGTTTCACTGTATGATCACTAGTGTGTTGTGTGACGTGACACTGATTCACATGATATGAAGGATCCTGTAATCACTTGAGCTCATTAAGCAAGTTATCTACCTACTCAGGGTAACAGTAGGAATTACAGTCACTGGATGAACACATGATCACTTGGGTGTTTTGATATGAGCACATCACCAGTATTTGCGTTATATTTTAGGGATAATGCAAAATAGATAATGCACTATGTGTAGTTTATCTATTTTTTTTGAGGTACTAAAAGTGTAAGAGGAGAAATCGGTTTGAGGAAAATTGGGAATTGGTGGACAATACGAAGATATCACCAGTATATATGGAAAATCCTTGAGAACGTTTGGGAGTTTTTGTTGGATGTTTTGTGTGTTTGGAATTTGAACTTTATGTTGGACGCTAATGAACATAACTAAGATTTGAGCTTCCTGGATGGAAGTACTATTATGGTGGCTCAGGGGTCATTGTAATCACTTCATATTTGGCATAGGAGGGTGTGGTCTATTCACATAATTTACAATACCCACTGATTTTGGTAGCATAATTATTAATGTGGAATGTATGTTGCTTGCTAAAGAACATTATTTTTATCAAGTTTAATGGGTAAAGTTCCACTTAGGTTACTTTCTATATGCAAAGTAATGTAGTGTGGAATGTAAAAACCTCTGAGGTCGAGATATTGCAGCTTTTCTATGCCTTAAAGAAAAGAGACGTTGTTTCCAGGACAATGAGGTGCATGTTTTGGAAAGAGAGGAGAAACTGGTTCTCAAAATGTCAAACTGGAACACCCAGGGGTCTTCAACACCATCTGTCTTCCACATATAATTTCTTTTTTCTCTTCTCAAGGGTTGTGACAACAATTCATGCCTTCAGCCATGTAAATTGAAGGAATAACTCTTCAAACTTCCTGACACCAATGATGAGATTATGTAACTGGAACAGGGTAGTTCTACAACCTCCATGCCTGCCATTCTGTTTTTGGCCAACCAAAATCAACCTTAACAAATTCCATAGTGATTGGATTAAGGTGTGAATATAAATGCTGGAGGTTTTTACTTACACTCTTTAGAACTGAATAAATGGCTTGCATAAGCCACGTAAAGTCATCAACATTACAGAATAGGTCCAGCTGAATGTGATTAACTACTACTAGCTATACCATGCCCTGAAAAATGAGAACCTTCAGAGACTAGCAGTGGTTTTATTCACAAATCTTCACTAGCTGTGAATCAACCTGATCTGGGTCAGAT